CTGGTGCAATTGACTGCAAATTACATTTCATAATAATAATAATAATAAAAAATTAAATAAAGAATAATAATAATAATAATAATAAAATAATAATAATCATTAAAAAAAAAAAAATAATAATACAAATAATAATTATTATTATATTAATAAAATAATATAATAATAATAATTTCAAGATCTTGTACAAGGGTAATAAAACCCATTCTCTATTTTTTTGATATATAAATACAGAATATACATATTGTGTGTGTAAAGTCTCTCGCTGCCACTGCTGTTATTATGAAACTGGTGCAATTGGCTGCAAATTACATTTCATAATAATAATAATAATAATAAAAAATTAAATAAAGAATAATAATAATAAATAATAATAATATCATTAAAAAAATAAATAATAATAATAATACTAATAATACAAATAATAAAATAAATAATAATATTATTATATTATTATTATAAAATAAAATAATAATAATAATTTCAAGATCTTGTACAAGGGTAATAAACCCATTCTCTATTTTTTATATTAATAAATGCAGAAATATACATATTGTGTGTGTAAAGTCTCTCGCTGCCACCGCTGTTATTATGAAACTGGTGCAATTGACTGCAAAGTACATTTCATAATAATAATAATAACTAAAAAAAATTAATAAATAATAATAATAATTAAAAAAATAAAAAATAATAATAATTTCAAGATCTTGTACAAGGGTAATAAATCCATTCTCTATTTTTTTATATATATAAATACAGAATATACATATTGTGTGTGTAAAGTCTCTCGCTGCCACCCGTTATCATGTTATTGACTCATAATAATATTAATAATAATAATAATATAATAATAATTTCAAGATCTTGTACGGGGTAATATACCCATTTTCTCTCTCTCTCTCTCTATATAAAATAAAAATTGAATAGACCTTTAAAAGGTAAAAAAAAAAAATTATACCTTTAAAAGATTAACCAGTTTTGTTTCCATTGATCACTTTTGTTTCAAATATTACCCCCCCCCCCCCCCTTATTTTTCTCTGCTGCTAGATGTCCTCACTCTTCTATCTTCATTGAACTCACTTCCTCTGAGTCCAGGTCATCCCAGACAAGCCTCCAAGTCATGACTGGACAGATTCCCCCTTTGCTCTCTCCTCCTATCACCATGCTTCTTTTTTTTTACCATTGATTCACTGCTTGTGCTGCTTCTTCCACTCACCTACCAGCCCTGCTGTACATGGATCACAGGAGGCTGATACCAGGTCACATTTAGATCATTACAAATCAATGACGTACTAATTGCATTATTTTGTGTCTTTGATATCCGTGTGGAGTTCAGATTTAAATTTCTCCCATCGGCCCCCATTATTTTACGATGGATATGCCCCCCCGACCTGTGTCTGGACAGGGTCTCCCTCTGCTCTCTCCTCCTATCAGCGTACTTCTTGATGTGACTGGCTGCAAATTACATTTCAAGATATGTACTAGGATATGAACCCCTTTGCGCCGGCGCCTCCAGGCCCTTTAAGAGATTTCAGAGGACGGGAGGCGGGGCGGGGTTTTAGGAATCATGTGTATATATATGACTGTGAGTTAGGGACATTAGAATGCACGCTCCTCGGGGGCGGGGACTGATATGTAAAGCACTGCGCAAACTGTTGGCGCTATAGAAGTACCTGAAATAAATAAATCGTGTGATAATAATAATAGATGTTCTCAGTCTTTTGGCCATCGTCACTCAACTCACTTCCTCTGAGTCCAGGTCATCCCGGACAAGCCCCAACCTGCCAGATTCCCCCCTTTGCTCTCTCCTTCTATCCGCGTGCTTCTTTTTGTTATTGCCAGGTCCCATTTAGGTACTTACAAATCAACGACGTACTAATTGCATTATTTTGCATCTTCGCTCCCCGCGTGGAGTTCACCTTTAAATTCTCCCGCCAGCCCCCATTATTTTTTTTACGACGCGCGTCTGAATAACAATGCAGGGAGTTTCGGGGAAATCTATTTTATTTTCCATCTGTTGTTTCGGGGCTTAGCGCTCTTTCCATCAGATCTCGGTACATCTATCTGCTCACATCCAACATAACTGGAGGCAGTTTTAAACGGCAAATGTAAAGAATTGCGCGAGTGCGCCCGGCGGGGGCGATGAAAATCAATGGGATGCAATAAAAGGCGCTTCCAGTGCAGATATTAGTGAAAAGTAAGCGTTCGGTCACAGGTGTCTGCCGGCACTCGCCCAGCGATCGTCCTCCGCTACGTCGGGTTATTATCGCAATCACTCGGCTTGTCGTTGCGTCGGATCGGTTTGCGTGTTTTATATTCGGCGGGGAAATGAAGCGTAAATCAGCAGCGGCTATTTATTTCCCGCATAAAGGGATCGTTAGTCTTCCCGCGAGCCGGCCTTTTGTGTTAGGAATTAAAAAACGGAGATTTATCAAACGCGCCGCCGACAGAATCAGACGCGTAATTAGCGCAAATCATTCCGCCTCTCATTCGGTAAATTGTTTCCGATGGTTTTGTGGGGATTCGCCTTCGCCATCCTGGGCGTGACCGACCGTGTTTGAGACGATGCAGGGGCCTCCCGTCACTTCGCAGCAACATCTCTGTTGTCACCTGAGGATCAGCCAGTGACACCCTCCTGCCTTAGGATGGCTGCATCCACTTCTGCACTGCAACCCGGGCTGGGGCAAGGTCACCCAATACCAAGGGTTAAACTGCACCCCGAACACAGAGGCCTGCCTGCCCTGTAACCCCAACACTAAACTTCCTCCCTGTAACCCTAACACTGACCCTCCCTGTAACCCCATACTAACCCTACCCTGCAACCCCAAACACTGACCCCAACACCCTCCCTGTAACCCCAACTAACTGTAACCCCTCCCTGTAACCCCAACACTAACCCTCCCTGTAAACCCCAACACTAACCTTCCCTGTAACCCCAACACTAATCCTCCCTGTAACCCCAACACTGACCCTCCCTGTAACCCCAACACTAACCCTCCCTGTAACCCCAACACTGACCCTCCCTGTAACCCCAACACTAACCCTCCCTGTAACCCCAACACTAACCTTAACCCCTGTAACCCCAACACTAACACTAACCCTCCCTGTAACCCCAACACTAACCCTCCCTGTAACCCCAACACTAACCTTCCCTGTAACCCCAAACATCCTAATCCTCCCTGTAACCCCAACACACCCTCCTGACCCTAACCTTCCCTGTAACCCTAACACTGACCATCCCTGTAACCCCAAACACTACCCCAACACTGCGACACCTCCCTGTAAACCCAACATGTAACCCCAACCCTCCCTGTAACCCTAACACTAATCCTCCCTGTAACCCCACACTAATCCACTGTAACCCCAACACTCCCTATAACCCTAACACTGACCCTCCCTGTAACCCTAACACTGACCCTCCCTGTAACCCCAACACTAATCCTCCCTGTAACCCTAACACTAATCCTCCCTGTAACCCCAACACTACCCCCCTGTAACCCTGTAACCCTAACAACACTAATCCTCCCTGTAACCCCAACACTATCCCTCCCTGTAACCCCAAACACTAACCTCCCTGTAACCCAACACTGACCCTCCCTGTAACCCAACACTAACCCTCCCTGTAACCCCAACACTATAACCCCACACTCCTGTAACCCCAACACTGACCCTCCCTGTAACCCTAACACTAATCCTCCCTGTAACCCCAACACTAACCTTCCCTGTAACCCCAACACTAACCCCCCTGTAACCCCAACACTAATCCTCCCTGTAACTCCAACACTAATCCTCCCTGTAACCCCAACACTGACCCTCCCTGTAACCCACTAATCCCTCCCTGTAACCCCAACACTAAAACCCCCCTGTAACCTAACCAACACTGTAACCCCAACACTAACCCTCCCTGTAACCCCAACACTAAACCCCCCCTGTAACCCCAACACTGACCCTCCCTGTAACCCCAACACTAAATCCCTCCCTGTAAACCCCAACACTAACCCCCCCTGTAACCCCAACACTGACCCCCCCCCCTGTAACCCCAACACTAATCCTCCCTGTAACCCCAACACTGACCCCCCCTGTAACCCCAACACTAACCCCCCTGTAACCCCAACATGCAAATCGTAAATACTAAGACACTGACATTCACTAGATGCGATTTCAATTCCCAAATCTCTCCAGTATGACTGGGCACTAGAGGGAAATATAAAATATATATATATACACCCCAATTTGTTTTTTTGTTTGTAAAATATGAAAAATGATGTTACGGCGAGTAAATAAATACCGAACACGTCACACTTAAAAATTGCGCACGCCCGTGGAATGGGGGCCAAACTACGGTACCTAAAAAATCTCCATAGGTGACGCTTTAAACATTTGTACAAGTTGCCAGCTTAGAGTTACAGAGGAGGTCAGGCAATAGAATGAATGTCCCTCGCTCCAACGTTTGCGGCGATACCTCACATGTGCTGCCAACGCCATTTACATATACGTGCGCAACTTACGTGTGCGTACACTTCTGCGCACGATCAGAAGGTTTTCTATTTATATGTTTATGTTGTCCCTTTATATTTTGGTCACTTTCATTCCCATTACAAAGAATGTGAACATCCCTGTGATAGAAATACGGACGACAGGTCCTCTTTAGGCTCGGTTCACACCTATGCAGTTTGCGTTCGAGCCGCTTCACATTGCGTTCTGGCCGTGTTTTGAGGGTTTTTTTCTTGTTGCTAGGCAGATTTGAAACGCATCAAAAACATGTCGAAAACTCAGCAAAAACGCAATACATGCTTTTCCTGCAGCATTTCCATTGAAGTCTATAGCATCCAAAATGCAACTTTTTGCATTCAAAAAAGTCTCCGCCCCTTTTCAAAAAAAGCACCGGGGTGAAAACGCGCAAATATGAACCCGTCCCATAGGAAACCATGTTACATGGACTGTAACTGTACTTCTGCAAAACGCAGCGGGAAACGCATAGGTGTGAGCCTGGGATTAACTACTTCCAGTCCGGACACTTCCCCCCTTCCAGTCCGGACAGGTTCCGAGGACCACTTTCCCCCCCTTCCAGTCCGGAACCCTTTCCCCCCCTTCCAGTCCGGACACTTCCCCCCCTTCCAGTCCGGACACTTTCCCCCCCTTCCAGTCCGGACACTTCCCCCCCTTCCAGTCCGGACACTTCCCCCCCTTCCAGTCCGGACACTTTCCCCCCTTCCAGTCCGGACACTTTCACGGGTACATTTCACCCCCCCTTCCAGTCCGGACACTTTCCCCCCCTTCCAGTCCGGACACTTTCCCCCCCTTCCCCCCCCGGACACTTTCCCCCCCCTTCCAGTCCGGGACACTTTCCCCCCCTTCCAGTCCGGACACTTTCCCCCCCCCCCTTCCAGTCCGGACACTTTCCCCTTTCACCCCCTTCCAGTCCGGACACTTTCACCCCCCCTTTCCAGTCCGGACACTTTCCCCCCCCCCCCTTCCAGTCCGGACACTTTCCCCCTTCCACCTTCCGGACACCCCCCCCTTCCAGTCCGGACAACACTTTCACACCCCCCTTCCAGTCCGGACACTTTCCCCCCCTTCCAGTCCGGACACTTTCCCCCCCTTCCAGTCCGGACACTTTCCCCCCCCTTCCAGTCCGGACACTTCCACCCCCCCTTCCAGTCCGGACACTTTCCCCCCCTTCCAGTCCGGACACTTTCCCCCCCTTCCAGTCCGGACACTTTTCCCCCCCTTCCAGTCCGGACACTTTCCCCCCCTTCCAGTCCGGACACTTCCCCCCCTTCCAGTCCGGACACTTTCCCCCCCCCCTTCCAGTCCGGACACTTTCCCCCCCTTCCAGTCCGGACACTTTCCCCCCCTTCCAGTCCGGACACTTTCCCCCCTTCCAGTCCGGACACTTTCCCCCCCTTCCAGTCCGGACACTTTCCCCCCCCCCCCCCTTCCAGTCCGGACACTTTCCCCCCTTCCAGTCCGGACACTTCACCCCCCCCCCCCTTCCAGTCCGGACACTTTCCCCCCCCCCTTCCAGTCTGGACACTTTCACTTTACCCCCCTTCCAGTCCGGACACTTTCCCCCCCCCCTTCCTTCCAGTCCGGACACTTTCACCCCCTTCCAGTCCGGACACTTTCCCCCCTTCCAGTCCGGACACTTTCCCCCCCTTCCAGTCCGGACACTTTCCCGCCCCTTCCAGTCCGGACACTTTCCCCCCTTTTTCCCACTTTCCCCCCCTTCCAGTCCGGACACTTTCCCCCCTTCCCCCACCCCCCCAGTCCGGACACTTTCCCCCCCCCTCCAGTCCGACACTTTTCCCCCTTCCAGTCCGGACCCCCCCTTCCAGTCCGGACACTTTCCCCCCCTTCAAGTCCCGGCCAATTTTCCCCCCCTTCCAGTCCGGACACTTTCCCCCCCTTCCAGTCCGGACACTTTCAAACCCCCCTTACCCAGCCAGTCCGGACAATTCCCCCCTTCCTTCCGGTCATGCAATTTTTCAGCTGTTCACCCAGATATCACACTTTGAATTAGCATTTTTTTGCAGACAGATAAAATTGAATTTTTTAGTATTTTTTCAGACAGATAAAGCTTTATTTTTTTTGCTATATAAATGAAAAAGTCCAAAAAATTGAAAGTGTTTTTCTTATAAATTTTGCAATAAATAATCTTTCATCATAAATCTTGGCCAAAATGTATTCATTTATCTTTTTAGTAAAAAAAAAAAAAAAACAAATTAGTTTATAACCAAAAATTATAATTTTTTATCTTTTTTTTACATTTTACATTTTTTTTACATTATTTATTTATGTGTTTTTGTTTTGTTTTTACATACTGTCACCCTAGCAGTATAGTCACCATGGTAACACTGTACTACTTGTGGGGGGTGATGAAGATTTTTTTTTTTTTTTACTGATTGCTTTTACACCCATAAAGGCTGTAAGAGGAATCATTTCTCCTTCTCTCTGGCTGCATTCCTGCAGCCATTGAGAATTACTGTGTGAGCTGTGATTGGTCACAGCTTGTCACATGGTACAAGGCTGTTGTGAATGGCCCTGTACCATGTGATCTCTGTGATCATTCACAGGTTTCACACGTAGTAAGCAATGATGTCAGAAGTGACATCATTGCCTACTACTCTTCATGTGGTCACTGATTGGCCAATCAGTCATTTGTAAGGCTCAGATCACACCGCGCCCGCACCAAAAACACACAGGACCCTTTTTTGGGTCGGCACTAGAATCGGATCGCACTGTACTGGAACGTGATAAAAACACATCAAAAACGCACCGGAACGCACATGTCCCTATTTGAGTTTGAAGAAGAGGGGGGGGGAAATGAACCGGAAAGCATCAAAATCGCACCAGAGCGCATCAATAACGCACGAGAATACACCAAAAAATGCGCATGCAGAAACGAATCTGGACTGCGTTTCTATAGTGTGAACCGACCCTCAAATAGGGACATGTGCGTTCCGGTGCGTTTTTGATGCATTTTACCGCGTTCCAGTACAGTTCTGTGCAGGAAAAATGCAGCCTGTTCTACTTTCTTTTTTCTGCACCCGGAACGCACCGGAACTACCAGCACTGATGTGAACTGACACTGACAACCCTATCACCGACTTTCTGTGCGTTTTGGATGCAGAAAAAAAGGAACTGAAACGCATGGAGTGTGAACCGGCTGTAAATGTTTGCTTCAGTGCGGCTTTAAGTTGTCCTGAAAGCTTGGCTCTTGAATAACTTGGATCAGCCAATCAGGGAATCTCTTAAACTCCTTCAGCAGGTTTAGACCAATCAAGAATGAAATGTGACAATGGGGGTGTGGCCATGGAGCCGGAGAGGAGATCTGACATTATTCCAGCAGGTGGCGATCTTGTTCTTGCAAAAAATGTGTTCTGCCTTTACATCCTGGTTCTTTTTTTTTCTTTTCTTTTTCTTTCCTTTTTATTTTCTTTCCTTTTTCTTTTCATTCTTTTTTCTTTTCTTTCCTTTTTATTTTCTTTCATTTTTCTTGCTTTTTCTTTTCTTTCTCTTTTCTTTCCTTTTCCTTCCCTTTTCTTTCCTTTTATTTTCTTTCCTTTTCTTTCCTGTTCCTTTTATTTCCTTTTTCTTTTTCTTTTTTTCTTTTCTTTCCATTTCTTTTCTTTCCTTTTCCTTTTTTCCTTTTATTTACTTTTTCTTTTATTTTCTTTCCTTTTCTTTCCTTTTTCTTTCCTTTTTCTTTTCTTTTTCTTTTCTTTCCTTTTCTTTCCTTTCCATTTTCTTTTCTTTCCTTTTTCTTTTCTTTTTTTCTTTCCTTTCCTTTTTTCTTTTCTTTTCTTTCCTTTTCCTTCTTTTTTCTTTTCTTTCTTCTTTTCTTTTCTTTCCTTTTCTTTTCTTTTTTTTTCCTTTTCCTTCCTTTTTCTTTTCTTTACTTTTCCCTTTTTCTTTCCTTTCCCTTTCCTTTCCTTTCCTTTCCCTTCCATTCCTTAGTATAATATTAGACCTCTAGCACAGCCACACACATCAGATTTTACCATCAGGCACCCAACAAACATCTGTCCGGGGGCGCTACATGCAGCGGCGGCGTGGTCCCATTGACATTTGGCATCTGCAATACCCGCCGCTCCCAACAGGGGGGAGAATTTCTGCCATCGCCGGAGTGCCGGGTGTACAACCCTACTGTGGCTTCGGGCGGTAAAACCAACCAGCTGTTTTTTACCACCCCCTCTGCCGCCTATATGAATGAGCCCTTGCGGTAAAAACCTTAGGAGGTTGGGACATTAAAGGGTCACTCCGCCCAAAGCCACCATTATAAATTAGAATGGATCCTTTAGTGACGTTTATTCATTCCTGACATGTCGCTGTGTATACTGATCGACTTCTTACAAAACTCCACATTTTATCATTCAAAAGCCGTCCTGGAGCATTTCCTCAGTCTCTCCCCCAGTGATCAGACTGTACATTGTAACTTTGTAGAAGGAGGAGGAGTCATTTCCTCAGTCTCCTCCCCCAGTGATCAGACTGTACATTGTAACTTTGTAGAGGAGGGTCCTGGAGTCATTTCCTCAGTCTCCTCCCCCAGGGATCAGACTGTACATTGAAACTTTGTAGAAGGAGGAGGAGTTTCCTCAGTCTCAGTCCCTCCCCCAGTGATCAGACTGTACATTGTAACTTTGTAGAAGGAGGAGGAGGCATTTCCTCAGTCTCCTCCCCCAGTGATCAGACTGTACATTGTAACCTTGTAGAAGGAGGAGGAGGCCTTTCCTCGGTCTCCCCTCCCCCAGCAATCAGACTGTACATTGTAACCTTGTAGAAGGAGGAGAGTCATTTCCTCAGTCTCCTCCCCCAGTGATCAGACTGTACATTGTAACCTTGTAGAAGGAGGAGGAGGCATTTCCTCGGTCTCTCCCTCCCCCAGTGATCAGACTGTACAATGTAACTTTGTAGAAGGAGGAGGAGGCATTTCCTCAGTCTCCCCTCCCCAGTGATCAGACTGTACATTGTGACTTTGTAGAAGGAGGAGGAGGCATTTCCTCAGTCTCCCCTCCCCCAGTGATCAGACTGTACATTGTAACTTTGTAGAAGGAGGAGGAGTCATTTCCTCAGTCTCCCCTCCCCACAGTGATCAGACTGTACATTGTAACTTTGTAGAAGGAGGAGGAGTCATTTCCTCAGTCTCCCCTCCCCCAGTGATCGGACTGTACATTGTAAGTTTTTTTGCTCAGTTTTCATGCGATTTCGCGTGTCGCGCATAGGGCAGCACGGGCAGTTCATTCACTTCAATGAGCCCTATGTGCATTTATCACCTAAAAGAAGCTCCTCTTTTTGGGGGGGGGCGGCGACCCTAGCGCGATTTTTAAACTTGCGCTTTGCCGCGTTTGCCGCACAATTCTGTCGCATGATCATCGCGGCAGAATAGCACCGTGAACAATAACGGCACCCCAAATTGCGTTGTACATTCTGCCGCCGTTTGGAATCGCGGGCAGAATCGCGTTTGTCGCGGAACAAAAACTGAAAAAAAAAATGCCCTGCGACCGAAAAAAGGTCCTGGAGCTACTTTGGGGGCGTCTGCCTTTATTCAGGTGTACGTGCCACCCCAGGCGCGACGTCCATTAACTCTCGGAAAATGCGCAGAACCCCCCAAAAAAAAATGCGAGCGGGAACGCACGTCCCCGCTCCGCTCAGGTGTGATGGGGCCCCTAAGCGACAGACGTGTGGGAGAGACATGGACTTCATAGTCACAGCTGAAGCCGGCATGCGTCCATCAGAGGGAAATCCCGATCTGCGTCCTGGAGCCCTGAAGCCGGAGGATTGGTGTGACTTCCAGGCGTCTCGCATTTTCTGACGCAGCAGATCAAATTTTTCTTTTTCTCAACCTTGCGACGTATATTGTGGCCCATACAGGGGCTCTTTGCGTCCTGTAGGGCCCGCAGATGCCATGGCCAGACCATCATCTGCGACCGAAAAAGGTCCTGGAGCTACTTTGCCTTCATTCAGGTGTATGGGCCGCCCCAGGCGCAACGTGCATTAACTCTCGGAAAATGCGCAAAAAAAAAACACTCGGGTGTGAGG